CATTACTAAGTTCCCAGGTCGCAAATGGACGTCGACGAAGCTTTGTGCGATCATGAACACCTGCATCATCCTGCACAATATGATTGTTGAAAATGAGCGAGGAAATTATATGCTGATGCAAGACTTGGAGTTTGACCAAGCCACGATGGCAGCCGCTGATGCCGCCAACATTGTGGTGCGTGCTGCGGCTGATGTCGTCGATGGATCCATTGCCGCTATGGCGTCTCGGTCAGCGGCATCTCGGAATTCTCAACTATTCAAGCAGCTGCAGTCGGACCTTGTGACGCATCTTTGGGGCACAAAGGTTCAAAAAAATATCAGTTAACGTTTTGAAACATTGATATTTTTTTAAATCCAGTTTTGACAACCGTGATTAATACTACGTTTCAAAACTATCTTCCTCTAGCATTCTTAATGCTTGGCGCTTTTTGAGATCAAGAATCTTGGCAGCTACTTCGTCTCCCGGCGGGGCAGTCATTGTAATCAGCGCCAAGAGATTTTGTTCTTCAATGAGTTTGTTGCGATGAACTTGAGATTTCACCAAGGCCTCCTTGACCTCAATAGATCGAGCACGGCGATCGTCGTCGGCGCATTGTACCAACTTTGCGCGCTTGGCTGATTTTGTTCCAAGTGGACGATCATGTTGGTCGGGGTCGTCGCCCCCCTCGGTGTCACATGACTCGTTTGGTGACCCTTTGGCACTTGCAATCGCCTACTCAATAGGTATGCATCAGATTCAGAGTGAACATAATGTATATATATACATATTATATAGATTAATGGTTTACCTGCCACTTGTCGCCATACCGTTTCAGTGCATGCCAACTATTGACATACTCAAAGTCTTCCTTGTGCATGCGCTTGTACAGGTCTAATGAAGCATTGATGTAGTCATCCGGCACCCATCCACTACGTTCCACTGCGACGATCGTCGCATGCACGCCAATAAACAGATTGAACTGCGCCTGCATCTTGCCCCACTGATTTCGAATTGCCTTCTCCGTACGATCGGTACTGCCGCTTAGTTCTACGAACGCCACGTAAATCTTGGACCAGTACGATGCTGCCTTCTGGTCGGCTCCGTGGATTGAGTCAAAACCTGTCATCCCGACGGATCGTGCAAGGTTGACACTTTCGTCATCCTTCCATGCCTTTCCACGTCCTAGTTTCTTGCTTGGAGTGGGCTCACTCGTGTTTGTCATATGCGGCGGCTGAAGCTGCAAATCGACGCTCAGCTTCTCCATTGAAATTGGAGAGTCGTTGTTGGGACAAGGAGTTCGGATGTCCGAATAGGGGCCTCGGAAACGTGGCATTCCAGATTGTCCACCAGAAGAACGGAGGCGTCTTGGACATGCTGTGCAAACAAACGCTCGAGGTAGATGTTCCACACACGTTCATCCATCCAAGCGTTTGCCTGCACAGCATAGACATGAATCGGGTCGTAGGTCGGCAGTTCCATCTTCTCCAACAGCCCACCTGGCTGCCCTTTGATGATGAACAGCAGTGGGAGCTTCACGCCATCGGCCCGGACTGTCAACACCCCGGAAATTCGCTCTGAGTGTTTGTTCTTCTTGTCCACCTTGGACGACTTTCCAACCTCGGGTAGAGTTTTGCCTGGCGGCATATCAAAGTAGACTCCTACTCCATACGCTGTCAATGCAGAGATGACGTTAGATAATCGCACCTGTTTCGCCCGCATTGTAGATGAGTGACTTGTCGTAGGCCTCGTACTTGGTCCAGAAGTTCACGGCATACCCGGCCCACACGTCGTCAAGAACAACCTGGCGGACCTTGTTGTGGCATGGAACGCGGTGGGAGAATCGGTGTCGCTTGCAAAAACGGCGGAGAAGGTGTTCGAGGGACTCGTAGCCGGAGGCGAAGGTCTTCTTGGACTCGATGTACTGAAGACGCCATAGTCGATGGTTGCGTTTGATCCACAGGATGAGGTGGAACACTCGGAGATACTTCTCTTTGGTACGACGGTCACGCATATACCCAAGGAGGTCGTCCTTGAAAGGGAACAATGACTTCCGCCCCTGGCCGCCCAGTATTGCCAAGCGGCTATGGTGGCGGCTGGTCAGAATCTTCACTTCTTTCGCTCGCCATCCTTTTCACGTACCTGGAGGGATGGCGTGCAGTTGGCTAAACTGGTTGTCGTTGAGGACGGACGCACGAAACTTCTTAAGGAGCGCCTTGCGCTCAGCGTTCGTGTAACGCCGCTGCTGCATGGTGGCTGGCGCTGCCTTTCGTCAAATGCCATTTTGACATGGACGTCCAAGTTTCAAATTTCAAATTGAGTTGGGCCAATCACAGCTGAGCACGATATTTGATTAATGCAGTCAATTTTATCCAATTGGATCTATTGTTTCAATCCCCAAGTTTCGAAAAATTTATTTTATTCACGAGTGCTACTTTCGTCGAGTTTTTCTGGCAAACACTGTATTGGGACGTCCGAGCGAAATGGGGACAAGAACACCCGGATACAGCGCCAAATTATCCGTAACTTCGATGGTACCACTATTGTAACAGGTTTTGGGGATAGGGACATCGATATAGGGACTCCCGTTGGAGATGCTGAACATTTTGGGGACATCCCCATAATTTGGGGACAAAATCGCCCGGATAAGCCCCAAATTATCCGTACTGTAACATGAAGTAACGGTACAACCGAAGTTTTGAGTTATAGATAGATTTCCGGATACATCCCCAAATTATCCGTAACCTCGATGGTACCACTATTGTAACAGGTTTTGGGGATAGGGACATCGATACTAGTATAGGACCCCAGTTGGAGATGCTTTTTATAAGTTCAGTTTTTCCCGGTATATTTTGTCCGACGACAACTGATTCACGCCATGTCGTGGCAAGCATTGGATAGATTTCGTCCTTTCCCTACTTGGTAGCACTTTCTTTCGACTAATTCGTGTGGATTCTTGGGGATATTTCCCTGATTGAAACAGTATTTCGGTAGTGGAACTGTTTTAATGAGGTTATTTTTCTTTATACTGTAGTACAATGGTCCTTCACTGTCAAAAGACTTGTTCAACTTAACTGTAAGACAGTCCTCCGCAAGGGCCGATACTAGAACCACATACCACCCCTGGTCGAGCAGGCGCGTTACAATTGGCGAAGCGGTTCAACAACATGTATCGGAGGAATGTCTGAAACTCAATTAAGTAGAACCACATGTTTTGGAACCGCTTTGCCAATTGCAAACAGGCGGTGTGTAATCTTCGGTTTTTACTTCGCGCCTTCGACTGATCTTCTTCGAAGTTCAGTCCTCATCCTAAACACAAAATTTCAATGCTCAGACACATACATACTTTAAGATAAAAAATGTTATCGTAAATTGGTTATCAAAATTTGAGTACAAATGCTTAGAAAGTAACAAATTTACCTGTGAAGTTCATCGCCTAAACTGATAGTACTCGAATCACTATTCAAAACTCAAATATCGTAACGGACTCAAAAGTTATGTCCATTCTACTCCGACGCCTCCAAAAAAGTTATCTAAATTGGTTTTTTACGTTATTCGGAAATTCCCAGCAAATCGACAATATCTATTTCTGGACTAATTCATCACCAAATTTGAATCTGAGACGTAGAATTTCTTCACCACATTGAGATCTACGTCTCAATTTGCTGAAATTTTGAGTAATGAATACGAAATAGAAGTCAGAAAATTTTGTGAAAAGTTGGTAGTTTATAGGTGACAAGCATCATATAATATCGTTATTACAGCAACAATCGCATAAATAAATATCAAAATTCATACATTTCGTTACTATTTTTCTGCAAATTCCTGCGAAAAATCGGTGAGATTTGACCAATATTCTTCAACCAATTTTGTGCTCATCATAGTTGCAATTACAGTATGTTTCACCGCGAGGTAAGGCTGAGCGACGGACGGTGTGGAGGTTAAGATGGCGATGAGTAGGAGAAGGCGAGTGACTTGTGGACCGCCGCCAGGGATGGCGATATGGACACTATCACGCGCATCCTCCGTGACGTGGAAACCACCATCAACGTCAGCGAGGTACAATACCACGCACGGACTGCCTTCCTCATCAACCGTAGAACGGATCCACTCCGTTGTGGATTGCATCAAAGCATGGTCACAACGACGTTGTTCGTGTGTTGGTCGACGTGGCACACGCCGTGGACTGGGTCAACGACGTACGTGACCACCTTCCTATTCTCGTCGTCCACATAGAGCATATCAATGTTTCGGAGCACAGGATGGCGAGTCTGCGCTGTATGCGGCAGCCCAGGAAGGCCATATACATGTACTTGACACCCTGCTACGACACACCAACGTGAACTTGGCGAACGAGGTAGTACCGTGTCGAGCTCGGTCATCATTCTCCCCTATTTCATCCCGCCATTCTTCGCAGGACGGCGCGACGCCGCTGTATATTGCATCCGAGATGGGTCATGTCCATGCTGTCCAGCTATTGCTAGCGCATGACGACGTCGATGTGAACCAACCGAACGTGGTAGAAGCAACTCAAACGAACACAAATGTACTAGTTCAAGGCTCCTCCCTTGTAGAACGGAGCAACTCCATTACACGTGGCTTGCGAACGAGGACATGCCGAGGTGGTGCGGCTGTTGTTAGCCGTAGCCGACTGCGCTGTATCCGACATGGTTAGTACTACTAACTACTACTTACTAGGATTCGAGTTCAATGAGTAGGATGGATGGACAGCATTGCACGCTGCAACTTGCTCTGGCCATGCCAACGTGGTGGAGCTGTTGCTAGCATCTGGCCAGTTTGATGTATCGGTTCAGACCAATGTAAGCAAATAGCTTAGCAACGCCCAAACTCATACACGGCGTAGGCCTGCGACACTGCGTTGGACCTTGCCACAGACGAAGGCCACGCCCGTATCGCAGAAATGTTGACTACATCTACGCCATCACAACTGGTATATCTAAGGAGATACATATTGTCCTTCTATTTTACCGTGTAACGTATATAGGTTTAGACAGCCATATAGATTTGGACTCCTCTGTAAAATTATATAATCGTCTGTAAGATTATATAATTGGATTATT